TGGAGGACTTTGTGGACTGGTGTTGGGTTAATGGGTTAATGTTGGACTTGTGGGCTTGGGCAGCATTGGGTTGGGATGTTTTCGTGATGCACCTTTTCTTTACATAAAAATCTCTCTTATACATGAGTTGCTGTGGATTTGTTTCTCCAAAGTACCTAGACTAATACAATGAGCCACCTTCTTTGGTCTTTATTTTGTTCCTTTTCTGTTTCTAAAAGGAGCCCTGGTGACATGGTGGGTTATACTTTGTCCCGCTAGCCAAGATGTCAGTGGTTCAAATGTACCAGCTGCCCTACAGGAAAAAGATGAGTCAGCCTGCTTCCGTAGAAAGTTAAAACTGTTTGGGGAACCATCTGGGGCAGCTCTATTCTGCCCTAGGGGATCGCTGAGAGTAGGAAGCCACACGGTGACAGTGGGTTTGCTTTGGCTTGTTTCCCTGCTGATAGAGGTCATTTAAGTTGAGTGTCTTAAGAAAAAAAAAGGAAATCACACAACAGCCCAACCAAGGAATATAAAAAATGACTGCAGTTTCAGCTCTGTAGTCTCTTTCCCTCATGTACATAGAGTGAAGTAGCACTCAACTCAAAGCTAACTGCCATCAAGTAAGTCTGACTCACAGAGATTCTACAGGACAGGAGCGAACTGGCCCCGGGAGCTTCCGAGGCCGTAACTCTGTAAGGAAGTAGAGAGCCAATCTTTCTCCCTGGGAGAGGCTGGCGGGGTTCGGACTGCAGCCCAATGCATGACCCCTACACCCCCAGGGCTCCTGGGATTAACACTGGCTACTAAGAATCACTAGGAAGAAAAAAATAGCCAATCAACCCTGTGGATCACAATGGAACAGTAACCCATGGGGCTAGCAGAGGACTGGGCTGCCTTTTGTTCAGTTTGTACATGGGGTCGCCATATTGGGACCGCAGAGCCAACTCAGTGACAGCTCACAGCCACAACATTGTGTGTGAGTAATCTTGTCACAAATCTGGAACCATGCTGACTGTTTTGGCAACGCGTTCTTAAAAATTCAGTATATTGAACTTTCTCATGAAGTATTCTTTGCAACATAATTTTTTAACATTTTTGCACGGTATTTTCACAAATGTGCTCTGTGATCACATTGTGCAGGGAAAAAAGGCAGGTCCTCAAGGAGGTGGATGGACACGGTGAC